GTTTACAGCACTTATTACTAGGAAATGTGTTTTCAATTTGTGTGTGTACAATGTGCGTCATAGATACCATTATAATTATTTATTTTTAATGGAATATAAAATTTTGAATTGATCAAATTATATAGATAAAATTTTTGAAATTCAACATCGAGCAAATGTTTTCAAATTTACCACATGGAGTTCTTGTTTGTACAACCTATCTCTAATTGGCTTATAGACGATATCGTTTCGCGGTTACTCTCCGGGCGTTCAAAATAATCGTTAACGACAGCGCCGCCGCTAGCCCATGTCGTGCCCGTGTGCAATCAATACCCTGGCGCCCAATAGTAGTATATTTTCCGCAGTGATCAGATGATCAGATATAGTAGTTATATTGTCCCCAGTGATCAGAAATTCGGTTACAAGTTGTACAAATGTAAATGATGTTGGGAAGCAATAGCCCGTTTTCTTTGCTTGTGTCGCGAGAGACGCAGGCTTTTTAAACATAATACTATTGATTTGTCCTTTCGGTCAGTCTTAAACGAAGTATCGAGATTACAAATCCTCCACACATACATATAAACTGAAACAACATACAAACTCTTATACTTAAATAAAACAATGTTTTTATTAGATGTTTTAATCACTAATCTAATGCCGGCCATACGCGCTACCGGAAAGGTCTACCTGTGCAGGTACACATGCGCATGTAGGCCGCTTATCGTTTGTGGGATTATCCTGTATGGCTACTACTAGACAACTACAGATTTAGTGACATTGGGTTATATTTATTTTAATTTGTCTACAGGCATCTTATAAACAGCTTCTCTTTTGTCTCAGTCGTGGTATTCTTTATTTTTTATGTGCCAAAGACATGGATGAATTCGATATATTTTTTACAATTAGTCTATAAATTCCTCAAGTATTTTATTATTAGTTGAACAGGATGTTGTCATTTTCTATTATGCATAGCAGTACGATGCGAACGACGACTACCCTACACCGTAACTAGAAATGATTTTCGATCTTGCGCCGCGCGCCGATCGCCTGCGCATGTACACAAAACTGCACAGGTCTGTTCAAACACACGTTCCGGTCTGCCTGCACAGGTAGACCTCTCCGGTATACAATTAATATAAAGCAAGTCAAAATAAAACAAGGAAGTGTATAGGTAAGTGGCATTTCTAATCCGTAGTCGGGTTATTTACTTTAAAAACAAAACAAATAGATACGTTGTTTGAAATGAAGAGTACATCTCCATTATTAACATTGATTTTACACTGTCTATCAAAAGTATTTGTACTTTGGTTCTTGTTAAGTATTCGCCTGTCATTTCAATGTCGCTCAATTTATTTATTTTTTCTCAACAGGGTTGAACATCATGTTTTTACACAGTATAAATGAAAAATATGTTTCACTAACTGGTAAAATAGATACATACAGACATAATTTGGTGTGCTTATCGCAATAAACACAATACAAGCACACAAAAAAAACATTCATAGCTTTCTCACAGATAGCGCTACGGCAAAAAAAGTCGTTAAAAACCAAAAAAAGATCTGAAACAAGCACAAAGAAAAGTTCGTAAGGTTTGCTGGTTGGTTCCGTAGCTCAGCTGGGAGAGCATCAGGCACGGTATGCTTAAGGCGCTGGTTCGGATCGAAGAAATTTTTCTCTGTGTTCGATCTTTGTAATAATAATTATAACAAACTGTGGAGTAATTTTAATTTAAATATCATGATAGTAAAACATAGTGATATTCAATAAACTTGACTTATCCAAAAGACGGGACGGTTTTGCGTAAGTGTACGTACTTACACGCTACACATTGACGTATCTTGTTCCGTTGCACTGTAGGCGATTTTCGAACAAAAATGCGTAGTCTGATGTGCCGTTGTCCGTACATGCTTAGTTAAAGGAACTTACCACATTTATCTACGCTGATTCGGCTTGAGTCGGTCAGAAAAATCTTTTGAGGCGTTGTGCGTTGCACTTCGGCAATCTCAGCCAAAGCGAAACGCACAATAAAGTATTTTTCGCTTTTATGGTATGGACTTTTTCTGATCTGCATTATTCGTTTACCTATCTATAAGTGGGTTGACTCCTTAAGTTCAAGGCATCACTTTTCCATGTTAAATGTAATATTTTAGAGCTAACTCCTATCTCAGTCACATAATATCGCACACCTCGTAAAAGAAAGGTGTAACTGGTTTTAACTGCTTTTCAAGACGGCCAAAAATAAGTATTAATCGTACATAAAACTTTGATTAAAAGTCGTAGTCCTATCTAACCTGCCTTGAAGCGTAACTAAAAAACCCCTACTACATGCCTAATTTGTTACATCTCTAAATTACAGGAAATCACAATTACTAGAAGAACACTTTCAGGTTTAAGTTAACAAATCCCTGTGTTTTTTTATGATACTAAGTAACGGCAGCGTTCCGTTTGTTCGTCAACAAGTCGTGCGCCTGATGGTAAACGACACGCCTGCTTATAACAGTTGCAGTGCCACACAGAGCAGAGCTTTAAATCGCAAAGATCAGAGGAGCACTGCCACTGCGCTCGTCACCCTGAGACATAGATTGAAAAGTCCCATGTTACTGTAATTTTGCCAGCACCCTTACCCTTCAAAACCGAAACGCATTAATGCTCATATTACTGCTTGGCGGCAGAAAATAGGTAAGGTGGCAGTATTTCCTTGGACGAACACTTTCTTAGTAGCTCTACTACTAATAATATCGAGGTTTTCGCGATTATTAGTTATAGGAAATGAGAGTATTTTTTCGGATTTAAATCGCGTATATTGGCTTTTGGCGGAGTATAAACACACCAACCGTTCTGAACGAGCTCATTTTTCGGCCGAGTGTCGAGCTATCAACAGCCCTGATGCCTCGTGGAAAGGCGGAACACGTGTCGGGTATATTTTTGGTGGTGGTTTGTGACTGCAGTTGCGCTTGTGTTATTTATTTTATGCGGAGGGAGAGTGGGATAATTAACTGCATAAAATTATTCAACACAAGCGCAGCTATTTTGCACGAGTTAACCTTCACTGGATTCGCGGAGTAACAAATTAATTTACTTCCATTTTTATTAGGGTATGGTCTGTAAAGGGCCCGAAACGTTGGTTTGTTTGAAAAAACAAATATATGCGATTTATGTCTGAAAAAATAGTTTCATTTCCTAAATCCCTTTGTTGTTCAATTTAGGATTTTATCAGCGTCGTGCTAGTGCTGCCTTTGTACATCGTAAAATAAACAAACACCTTTACGACATGTTTACACACATATACGACATGACTCAGGTAAGCACCACAGAAAATTCAGTGAACGGAATTTAACTAGGTAAGTAATGCCAACATCTCCATGGTGGATTATATTTTGCTTTTAATTACTCAATTAGACTCCTATGTGTGCCAAATTTCGTTTTATTTTTCATCTTTGGTAAATTAATCTACTTCATCATTTTTCTTCTTGGGATGCGAATTCTATAGATACTTTTCTTATTCAATTTTCAAGTACCTCTATCGGTGACGTCAAAAAGGTTGTCTAGACACGAGGTTGGCAGGAAATATTGCCTAGACGTACATATGTAGGGATCATTATATTATTCTCATGTTATATTGAAATAACCTTTGCCGAATGAAATACTTTAGACGGGTAAGGTATAAAAATACAATATAACAGCTTAAATATTAAAAAGTAAAACTAGGATCAAATTATATAGATAAAATTGGGTTCACACGACAAGGTGCCCAAGATGCTCGCAGCATTCCCCTTTGCATAGCTTGTGCGTTGGGCTAGCGTATCCGTACGTGGAAGTACGGAGAGGAGGAACACTCCGGGGGTTTAGTGCGGTCGGGCTGCTCCTCATCAGGGTTTATAGTCCATTTGTTTATGTACTTAACTAAATGTAAACAGCTTTGATACATCTTTTTATTGAAACATATACTTTGCAAATCAATAGGTATAAAAATAGGCATGCAATTTCATATGAAGCTAAGTATTGTATTTTGTATTTGAAGGCAAGCAAAAATAATTTTATAAATGTATATTTCATTAAATAGAAATCTCAAGTGTTTACATTTTGTTAAGTACCTAAACAAATGTACTGTAGCCCAGTCCCACATAATCCCGGCTCTGCCACCGCGGGTCTGGGGTATCTGTACGCAGATTCCCCCCGAGGGTTAAAAAAAAATAAAAGGTAGCCCTTGGATTTCCCAGGCAGTCTATTAATTTTTTGATAAAATTGAGAAAAAATGAATGGCACCGCTCTCTATTAGCCAAGGCTTTCGACTCCAAAGGGTGCAAATAGGTAGTCAGAGCCGAGTTCCTGGTACTTATTACTCTTACATTCACGTACTTACATAAGAATACGAGTTCTGGTTTATATATTACAAAGTAGAGTTGGCTTCCCTATTCGTTTTTTGTATTGCCTGGTTCAAGAATGAATAATCACGTATAAACAGTTGTTTAAACGTGAATATCATATAATAATATTACACATTTCCAATCAAAGACGAATACTGAAATATATGTTAATTAAGAATACGCAGCTGTACAATTAACATTTTTTAAACTGCCAATTTAAACCCCATATAAACGACGCAAAGTACAATTTTCAACAAAGAATTGTCTTAAATTGTACATATTAAGATACGGCAATGTAGACTTTTTAGAATAGGTAAGTGCGGTTTTCATACAAATTGCGGTCTAAAAGGAATGTTATTTTTCCATTTAGAAGACCATTATGTCATAGAACTTTCATGTATGTGATAAGAAAAAGTTGATTAGAAAAAGGCCATTTGTTGATAAAATATGTAAGTACCTATACAATCTATTTTCTTCTTAGTGGCAACCCTGTAAGCGTAAAATTCGGGGCATTCAGAATTCGCATTTAACTGTGCGTTCTAGCATTCATTGTACTAACAGATGTTATTCTTTTGACTAGTAGCTGACAGACTATATATACTTTTCGCAAAGTGAATTATCGATTAGAGTGAATTATCGTGAAGGTTTATCGTTGTGCTCATTGGGAAAACAGAAACAATGTTTTTAAGTAAAGTAATTATTTTGGCGCTTATTGGCGCCATTCAAGCTAAGTGTTAGTTCTTATTATTTGTTTAAATTTATATTTTGTGAATGACTTTTTAACCGACTTTAAAAAAAGGAGAAGGTTCCCAATTCGACTGTATTTTTTGTGTATTTGTTACACGATTACTCCGGTGAAAACTTGTGAACCGATTTCAATGATTCTTTTTTGTTGGAAAAATGGTATCTCGGTAGAAAATTTGAAGCCTTTGAAGGTGGCAAACTAGGGGATGAATCTGGTTTCGCGCCCTTTCCGGTAACTGATTTCAATAAAAACAAATGTAATTTCACGAACTTTTGAGGTCGGTTTTTTTTTATAAAAAAAGTTACAATTATGTTAATTTTTAGTTGAATTTCCTTTCATCGTAAGTCGAAGGTACACTCATGTACGAGTACAAAAATGTTACAAAAGATTGTAATTTCACAACATTCTTTTTAACAAAAGAAACACAAGGAACAAAAATTAGGTTCTTGTTTGTGTATACATTTTAAGTGATTATTATTCCCTCATAGAATTGAAAGTACTTAGTTAAAACCTCTTGCACTCTTTTCTTTAAAGGTGTCGTAAGATTTTGAATATATACTGATATTATTTTCCTAATTTTCAGTAATAAATTTGTCATGCAAAGACATACAAGCGTTTGTGGATGGTCACAATTGGAGAAGACTGTTATTGGCTCAAGGAAAAGTGGCTGGTCAACCGGCAGCCAAGCATATGCAAATGATGGTAAGTGAAATACTATTTTTTTTTATATTAGAAGCTTCTACTTCTCTATTAATATGTGGAATTATATAAGTGTGATGTGTGAGATTAGACTGTTTAGATCAACAAAAGTCAAATAGTTTCTTGTACAATTTAGTGTTGTGATTTTTCTGATTCATTCCGATTAATCGTTATCACGTAATTCGAGCCGAATTCCTTAGAAAAATGTTCTTTAGAAAACTTCTTCGGAAGTTACTATGTTTCTTACTGTAAAACTGGTTGATATAATATTCATATGTAATAAAGGCAAACAATAAATTTACTAATATTCATTATTTTTATGATAGTAGTAGGCCGTATGTGCCTTATTTTTAAAAATAATATATATGCACCTTCTTTTTGCACTGGAGAATGCATTTCGAATACCGCTTGGCACGAGAGAGTAGCGGACGGTTATGTGGGACTCCTGGGCAGTAGCCCAGTGTACTCTTTAAAACCCAGTGGTTAACCTCACCGCCATAAAAAGGCCCCCTGTATCCTTGTGCATACAAGCGAAGCGCCTCGGCAGATGGCCTGCAAGCAGCGGGTGTAAGGGTCCTCCAAGTCCAGTTTCCAAGAGTCGCTACGGCGGGGCAAGAATGTGGGCGTACTGCCGCCTTCGTTTCCCCGGCCGTCGTTTTTGGAGTGGATCCGCTAGGAAGTCGTCCTCTCTGAGGACTCACTGAGGCTACGCTCTCGCAAAAAGAGACCATTGCGTCCCAGCACCTCTGCTGCCGAGCATTGTGCTCACAATAGCTAGTCAGGAAGTGTCGCTGAGGACCTAAAGCTGCACACTCTGCTAACCCAACCTTAAAAAAAAAAAATATTTTACGACTTTTTCTTAATCTGAGGTAAGCATGAATCTTATGCTGTTTCGTAGCAGGATTCGGAAACTTTTATGTTAATTATTTAAACAATGTTGCTCTCATGTTTTCTCCTGTTTTTTTAGCTATGGGACGATGAACTTGCAAACAAAGCAGCGAATTGGGCGAGCCTAAATATATACGACCATAATCCTGATAAAACTCTAGGTAAATACATTACTAGGTATATACATTTCGGTAGCTTTCTAGAATAGTGGTCAATCTCGGAAGCACCTAGTTCATTAGGAAGATGATTTAAAAAAACTGCATGTGCTACGTAAAGCCTTGTGGCCTTGTGTACTGACACAATGTTGTCACGTGGTTATGTTAAGCCAAATGACGCTAAATGTGTAATAAGTCAAAAATGATAAATTGATTGAGGCCACTATTTTTGAAAAACATGAACTACTGACGAAACGCACCAATTCTGTCGTGTCGCCGGCAACCACGTTTTGTATTTGAATGACCATTGCAACTAAAAAGAACAATAACACCTACTTATTTTACGCGGTTGTTAGCTACTTCAACGGTATACCTACTCTTTATAAGGTTACCGAATACGTTATCAGCAGCTCAAATATACTTTACGTGTCTGTCCAAATAATTAACGTATTACACCTAACCTGCTCATTCCTTTGGTCTCAACCTACACCGGGTTTTCATACGCCTTTTATACTTATAAGTAAAGTTAAAGACTTACCTTTTATAAGAACTTTTATAATAGGCACTGAAGCCTTATAAAACTGTATCCTTGGTATAATAAAATTAAGGCACATGATGTGACATAATATGTCAAAAGTGGTTTTTATAACATAATCTTCATATAAATAATAATTTAAATTTTAATTCTTGTTATAAAATTATTGTTTACATTTATTTTCTTGGGATAAAAAGCACTTTTGGCTTTTTTTAATAAAATAATTTAATATATAAGCATAATAAATGATAATTTAAGAAAAAAACCGAAAAACCGTTCATTCATTCGTAAAATCTAAAGATTTTAAATCCTCTCTCCTGAAAAGTTGTCACTTTGCAGATGTGGCTTTATTATATCAAGGGTGCGAAATATCGAATTTACATTGTAAATGAAAGAATGAGAGTAATATATCAATACCTAAGTGATGCTTTCAATTTTGAGAACTTTGTCGCCCTCTTAAATGAGAAGCCATCGTAGTTCCACTACCACCTAATTCGTAATTTAAATTACATATCTCCGTATTACTTAATAATGACATTTTAATTATATCTTAGCCTCGGGAAGATTCGAAACTGGTGAAAATATATACCGCTATCAAACCACCGATCAAGACTATCATTTCGATCTAGACACCGCTCTGGCTGCGTGGTTCGATGAATACAAGGATTTTCCATTCAAAACACTGGAGCCTAGCGACTTTGAATCGCCGGTAGATGTTGGTCATTACACTCAGGTAATTCAATATTCTTGATAACCTTTTCCTCGTACGATCTCATTGTTCACGTCAATCAATACAATAATGGTACTATTGTAGAACTCCTTGTGAAAGAGTTCGTCTAGGGAAGTACTGCTACCATGTAATGTAAGCATTACTGCGTTCTGGTTTTGAAGGATATAGGTGCTGGTGAAATTCAAATCAATTCAAAAAAATTCTTTTAAACTTTGTCCATATCATGTTAGTACAGAAAACTTATAACCTATGGTAGTAAAATAGGTTGTCAGAGAAAAAATAAAATTACATTATATCATACACCAAGCCTCTGGTACCCATCTAATACTCCCAGACCAACCGCATGAGACTGTTAGAACTGTCACGCACACGCCGCGTCAGGGAGGCAGTCCTCGTGCATATTATCGCACTGAAGTTATCAGTATGCGCTTCCGCGAACATACCTGATGCACTGCAAAAGCGTGACAGTGCCAACAGCACCCTATAACCATTATTGTATTGGACACGCAGGGTGTTGGCTGTCTTTTTAATATAACTTATCCACAGGCTGCCCGTACAAAAAGAAAAAAATTACAGACACGCGGTATTTGTCAACTTTTTGTCTCAGGTTGATAGGCACAGCGTCAGGTCTCCTCAGATCTTAGCGATTTAAAGCTCTGAGTGACGCTCCAACAGGCGTACGACAGTTCGTCCTCTGTTACCGACAACGTCCATTATTATTATAGCATAACTGATGTGTGATGGTTTATTACTGATGCTATAGGGTGCGTGCCGGCGCAGCGTACATGCATAACTTAGATACACGTCAATAACATTTTACGGTTTCTATTAAAAATATTAACTACGAAACTGAATTACATTTTTTATGTCATCATTAAAACTTATTAATTTAATTGTCCATTACACGCATCCTTTTGACCGCACACATTCAGTAAGGAAAGTTCAGTAAGGATTTTTTTCATATGGATCTTCATCTTCTCTTGTATAAAGAGGGAAGGCTTGTCATGTATTCTTTATAAGAATTATATGTATAAGTGCGCTGATAATATACTTTATTATGTTTGTAGATGGCATGGGCTAATACTGTTTTGGTGGGCTGTGCTATATCCAACTACAAAGAAGGCCAATGGAATACATTTCTGGTTGTCTGCGATTATGGGCCACAGTAAGTCAATATCGATATTTTGCATATTATTAGACTCTACCAGAGTCGATATAGACTCAATCTATTTTTCATATTTAGGGTTGGACCATGTGTGTGTGGACTGAGAGACTGACCCCACTTATCAATAAAACCCAAAATTTTAGTATTACACAGTGCTCATGCGGATAAGTTGGGTCTAACGAGAGTAAGGTCCTCGTGTACAGACGATTCATCGTTTCGATCGATTGTCACGATAACCGAATCGATTCGTTGTTAGTCCTTTGGCGTCCAAGTTAGTCGTTAATGACACAAACAGACACTATCGATTCCTCGTTTCCTTTAGAGCCTTTATAACAAATTATGATGACGTCCTCCGTGGTCGAGCTTGCACGCCGGTTTTCATGGTGTCGCCATCTCTGAGGTTCCGAGTTCGATATTGGGCCGAGTTAATGTAGAAAATCGGGCCGAGTTAATGTGTTTGTGGTTATAATGTCGTTGTTTCCGATTTCGATAACACAAATGCTTTAGTTACTTTGGATTTGTATCAGAACAACGTATGTGATATTGTCAAATTTTTTTTTATCACCTCCAAACAATCTGGAGAATATTCTTCATTGCCGCCATAATAGACAATAATACCAACAAGTTAACGATGACCTTTAATCTCAACAACATGAAACACAACGACGTCATTTTATTACATAAATGGTGGACAATAATACCTTAAAATTGAGTATCAAAACAAATCTCTTTTTGTAGGGTTTGTCACAAAACTCACTGCTGCTTATATAGGTATTTTTAATATCAATTCTTCTTTTCCTTTCAGAGGCAACATGTTAGGCGAAGAGCCATACGAAGAGGGAACAGCTAATAACGCTTTATATTGTAAACGTTCTAAGTACGTTAATTGTGACCTAAAGTACGGTTCCAGATGTTCAACGTGGGGTTTCTGGGACTATCCAAATTATTAATTTTTAGGATCTTAAATGACGGTGTACATTTTTGTATCGTTCTTTACGTAGGTACGCAGTATAATATCATTGTACGCATGCATCTGTAGAATGAATGAATGAATATTCCATAAAAATCTCATCACTTCTTCTTATGCATACTAATTTAGGTATGTTTGTGTGCGTGTGATATATTGTGTTGGGTCATGGAAATATTTCCATTTTGAAAAAATCACATTTTTCAGAAAAAGAAATATTTTTCCACATTTGAGATTGACACCTGTCAAAAGTTGAAGATACTGAGCTGTGTTATGAGAATTTATGAATATAAGCCAATCAGGGTTTAAAAATTACATTGTTTGTACTATTTTATTTATAGTGTTGTATTTGTATTGTACAACATGAGTTCTAAAAATGTACACTATTTAATTTTTTCGGAAAATTACCCAATGCTAGTGCTACAGAAATTGAGACTGTTTCATACAGCCTTAGAGTCTCATGAGCTGCATTCTGATTCGACTGCATCGATGGCAACTGCAACTAAATTTATCACGACTGCCGACATCTACGCAGTTTTAACTGACACTGACACACAAAACGAATTGCAACTCATGTGGCTACACCCTTAGATGCATGCAAATGACAATTTGCCTCTAAGCGATTGGGTTAATTTGAAACACTGCTCCATATTTTAACACCATTTTATTGTTACTATAAAAAAGACATTTAATTTTACATAAGCAAGAAATGCATTAAGTTCCTTTTTCGTAGTTTTATTTACGTATCCAACTTACAGAGTAACTGAAACCTTCCAATTTTGCTAAATAATTCATTATAAAGAGCTACAAAATGCTAACAACCCCCAACGATCGATCTTTTGGCTGTTTTTTTCAACTACATCCAAGAACTTTCAGGAACCGTTTTCCATTCCACACTAGGTTTACCTCCACTTGATCATCATTCAAAAACTCGTCTATACTAACCGTCAACCAGCTCCTCTATATACAACATTGCCTGTGCAATGCCACAGCTAAATTAGAACAGTAAATGAATAAAAATCACTTATAAAATAAAACATGAGTAGAGAAATCCAGCAACACTGTAACATTCGACATTTAAAGCATGACTTAATCAAAAATTTGTTTCCATTTTGTAAGAAAACAATAATGTGTGCATATTGAATGATTAGTAATCAACTTGTTATACATATGTGTTGTATATGTGTACGTACGTACGTACGTGTATATCTGTAATACGTATATGTGTACATCCATACATATTCGCTCATTACGTGAGATTATTAAATAAAGAATAACTTGGTAAGAGGAAAATTTCGTAAAGCAATGTAAACAGTGAGAAGGTTATGTTTGTGGAAAACGCGTATATTCAAAAATATCGATATAAGAAAAGCTACTAAATATCGAACAAACAAATTTACGTCTTCGTTTTCGACATCTTCATTTTCATTCAAAGAGCTACAAATATGCCAGATCTTTTAGAAAATAAATATGTACAAGGAAGGCAAATGTTATTCACCTATCTATTTGTTTAACTTTATTTATTGTTTACATTT